AATATAGATCTAGTTCTAGATTTATTTATCATTTTAGCTGAGAAAGCAACCAGTGGCTGGGGATACAATGTATCACCGTGTGTCCAGTAAGTGGATGGAAGAAAGAGGGGGGGGGGGGGGCATTTCTCCAATTAGCCTATCGTGACATCTAAGTCTAACTAAGTCTAAGAATACGTAAAAAGGCTGGTTGATTCAATAATTGAATATCCACCAATCAAGAACGAAGATCTAGCCTTTTTTGTTACTGAATTAAATGCCAAACAATAGATCTACGAACATTTCCATCGGTGACACTAACACCCGGTAACCCCCTTCCGAGTGTTTAGTAGTGTGTGATGACATGTTACTATAAATAGAACTCCCGGTTCAACTCTTCACGGCTTTATTCTTTCACTTTGTCGACCAGAGATGCTTAGATTTCGACGCATTTAGAATAAATAAGGTGTTCTTAGTTGAAAAGACAGCAAAAATACCACCACGAAGCGACACATTTGTATAGATCGCAATTAATTCACTATGAGGTGTGGAAAATGTAGGTCGGCGTGATTCCCACCAAACAATAACAATCCAACCACACGGCAAGTGGTGGCCGATTAGTCTTATTTTTCAAAACACGATATTCATAAGTATCCTAAAAGAAAATTATGATAATACTTACATAAATTGACGTCATAAACAGATCTATCGGATGTTTCTTTTACTGAACCATCATTATAATCGTCTGCTGGTTGGGTCAAGTCAGAGGGGGTGGAAATGGGCGATGGAACAGCCACAATGGCAGAATGACGATCTCCCGAAAGTGGTTGTTACCCCACTTCAGAAAAAGTAATATTTCTACTTCGTGGAACGTAGTTGGCTTTTCTAAACACATAAACTTGATGGTAGAGATGTCTGGGAATATGATCCTGGCACGGATAGCCCGATTTGTGTCGAATTTCATATTTTAAAATGCTTTCTTCGTCTTTAAATCGTACCACTCAAGCTTTCCGCTCGGAATAAAAACATAAACACATTCCCCGGAAATTCTCCTGAAATCCCAGATTTTTATGTTTCAAACCGCAAGAAAATTCGATGTTTCACGACTGAGAAATCGAAATTTAAAACAAGTACCCCCCCCCCCCCCCCCAAATCTAAGCGCGCAAAATTGCGAGACGGCCGAGTTTTCCCGTGTTAAACTTTAGTCAATTAAAAACTAAATATGGAATCATAAGTATCAGTTTCTCGTTCACCATGGAGAAGGAAAGACACAGAAAACAGTGGTATAATTTTTATTAGTGTTTACAAAAATTAAAACCA